ATGTGTTCCAGCAGTCTAAGGCTATAGGAGAAGAACTATAGAGATAGGTCAGGATAACCTGAGCCTTGTTCCTGCAAAGACCAGCGTATCACCAGATCCTAATTAGCAGCTGACTCTGAGGATCTAGAATAGGAGAAAGGAAATCCTGATGGTCCCACGGTAAAAGCTTCCTGCCTGCTGGGTGGGTTACCACGGTTACTCTGAGTCGGTAAGGAAGATGGAGAAGACATCGTTGGCCTTTCAGAGGGTGGGATGAAATGAGCACAGGAAGCTGGATTAGCTGCATAGCTGAGGGACCATAGAGCTAACTCTGGTTCTGCAGCTGCAGGCGGTTCTGTGATCCAAACAGGAGCAGACAGCAGCTGAACATCAGGCTCATTCACAGCAGCGTCGCCGTCGCCTCAGATATGTGATGATGTCAGAGAAGCTGAGGCTGCAGAGGACCTGCATGCAGGCGTCTTCAGGCTTTCACTGTCCAGGTCAGGTCCGACAGATTCAGTGTCTGACCTGAAACTGCTTTCATTGTCTGGAGGAAGCAGCTTCATCTTCTCTTTCTGTAATGATTTGAAATCCAGCTTTAGGAAACATTTGGCTGTTTATCGCGGTTATGATGGTTCCTGTAGATTTAAACGCATTGTCTGATGCGGGGGGGGGTATCTGAGAACCTGAGAAACTATCTAGACCGCAGAGCTTTGAATTCATGATCTGTTACTAAATAATATAAAAGTTATTTCTAAAAATGATCAAATACATGAAACTATGTAAAGTTTTATCATGTTTAGCGACGGATCAGCGAATCAGAGATGCTAGTTAGCTCCTAGTTATGAAGACGTTTAGTTCAGTAGAAATGTGACGTAGAGGAGGTTTGAAGTGGAGCCGATGTTTCAATAATTCAGCATCACTGTTTGATCAGAACCTAAAACACCGACGGCGTCTGTTACATCACAGACATTAACCCCCCCCCCATCTTCCATTATTCCATCATTTTCATTTTTCTTCACTAAGTAAGAAAAGGAGCTGGAATAATAAATGACCTTTGATTTTTTTAAAGCAACATTTTTTTTAAATTTTCAATTTTTTAAATAGAATGTGTTCGGGGGGGGGGGGTAGTATGGAGGGAAATGAGTGTCAAAATTCAATAAAACATTAAATCATTTTATCCATCCATTCATTTTCCTTTAACTTTATCCCGGGTGGTGAGGAGGGGTCCACCCTGGACAGAGATGGGGGGTCCACCCTGGACAGAGAGGGGGGGTCCATCCTGGACAGAGAGGGGGGGGTGTGTTGTTAAGTGTCAGTCAGAGGGAGGCGGAGGAAGCTGATTGGTCGGCAGCCTAAAGGGAAGATAAATGATTTAGGAGAACAATGAGCAGAAAACTCTGAACTCCTCTTCATGGTGTTTCTGCTGCTTCCTAACAGTCGTGACATTTTCCCAGAATGCTTTGCTTCAGAGGAGCCGCAGCGTTTGGCTGTCAGGCTGAAACAACCTGTCAGATTTCATTTTCCCATTAAACAGAGTCTGAACGTGGCGAGGCCTGCTGCTCGCGTTCCATTTGATCTGATTCCATCATTTCATTGGGCGCCGCGTCTCAGAGCAACATGGAGGAGAAAATAAACAGCTTCTATTAAACTCCTCCGCATCCTCCTGGAGGAGAGGAGGAGCCTCCGAATCCTCCTGGAGGAGAGGAGGAGCCTCCTGTTGCTGTCAGATGGAAGTGCTCCTGCTCCTCCTCGTCTCTCCGTGTTTCCTCCTCCAGACCTGCTGCTCCATGCTGAGCTCCTCGTTCTCCTGGTGAATCGATGCTGGTTAGAAATGCAGCTCTGGGATCAGCTGGTTCTGCCTGGACTCCTGCGGTTCCTGCAGGAAGGACTGGAACCTTCTAGTTAGTCCTATTCACACCTGCTCCATATTCAGCTCGTTAGTCCATCCTTTGTTCTGTTCCCCTTATATACTCCACCTCTGCAGTCGCTCAGGGCTGCTTCCTTCTTGTTTTGTCGTTACGTTGCTCCCTCTGTGTGTTTCTGAGTTTTTGGTTTTCAGTATTTATGGATTTCTGCCTCAGTTGCCTTCATTAAGTCTAGAAAACTCACCTCTGCCTTCTAATATCTGCATTTGGGTCCTTCAAAACATCCACTCATCCATGACGATATCTGGAATATGATATCTAATATTCTTAATAGTCAAATTAATACAAAGGAAGAGAAAGAATGGGAATATGGAGATCTGAAATTAATTCCTAGACATCCAGAATGTTTATTCTAGATGTCATTTTATTTGAAATAAAAAGTTATTGCAGATATCAGAAATATATATTCAGTAAAATAATAAATAACAAATGGCTTGCCATAGCCTGTTGTGACCACAATGACATTATGGGTTTATTTCTTGAATGGATCAATCTGTGTTCGGAGCAGGAGTCTCAGCCGTGTGGTGCCAGGTTTTCCTTCCAACCAAGCAGTCGCTCCAGAATCATCTCATCATCTGACCAGGTGACCTGACCAGGTGACCTTTTCTTCTTTCTGTTGGTTGTGTTTTCAGGCCCGCTCAGGGTGATTGTTCCCACTGACTCGGTCTCCTCGTTCATCGGCGACACCGCCCTGCTGCGCTGCGAGGTCTCAGGCGACCCCACCCCCGTCATTCGCTGGCAGAAGAACCGAGACGACCTGCCGCTGAACTTCCAACCCGAATCCCGGCTGGCGGTGCTGCCGTCCGGCTCTCTGCAGGTCAGCCGGGTCCAGCCGCCGGACTCGGCCACTTACCGCTGCCTGGCCGATAACCCCGGCAGCACCAGGACCGGTACGGACGCTGAACTCCGAGTTCTCCCAGGTAAGGAACCTGCTGGGAACTTTATCCCCACCTGGACTGGTCCAGAGAGGTCCACTGGTTCCACCAGACTCCTCCTGTTCCGCTGCGGTTCTGTGACTCAGCGCTGAGTCACCAAAGCTCAGCCAGTCTGAGATTATCTGCTGGCCCACGTCCTCCTCCCTGAGCTGGACCTAGGAGGTTCTCCTGCAGTGGTTCCCAGTGAGGGAACTGGGAGGAACTGGGAGCACCCAATGCTGGCTTCAGCTGGTCACTGAGGAAGAAGAGCAGCTCCTTCAGATCCAGGTTCGGGTCTCAGGGTCTAATCAGAACCTTGGATAGCAGGCTGGAGCTGTCCTTCCACCAGAGAACCGTTAGCTGGTAGAACCAGTTTCCCAGTAGGTCCCCAGTCTCTCTCTGACCGTCCCACTGGCCCCGACGGTGGACAGCGGGTTCCTGGTGGACCTGAAGCTTTTTATTTTAGGATGAACCTCTGATGTTCTTCCAGGTGCTGCTTCTCAGGCTGCTGTCATGCAGCAGGTGTCTCCTCTTGTTTTATTGGCAGAGACGCTCTGATGCGTTTCCATTTCTATCCTCCTGCTGCAGCAGTTAGCGCCTCACAGATGGAGCTCTGAATCATCTGAATCATCTGAATGATCTGAATCATCTGAATGATCTGAATCATCTGAATGATCTGAATCATCTGAATCATCTGAATCATCTGAATCATCTGAATCATCTGAATCATCTGAATCATCTGAATGATCTTTGGTTTCTGCAGCTCCTTCCTCTCTGGAAATGTGCTGATTTACTCACTGGTCTCACTGGGCAGCTGACTGGTAATGGCGGCGTTGGCTGAGGCGTCTGCAGGACGTCAGGAGCTTCTTAGACCTGCATAGAAACAGCGTTAAGCTGTGATTAAAGCTGTCAGCCGTCGTTCCTCGACAGCTTCCAGCAGCTGCAGAGTCATAAAAGTCTTTTGTTGGGCTCCAGATAAAGAGCAGGAGAATTAAAGCAGCGCTGTGGCTAAGCTTCTTTCTCCAGCTTTAGATAATCATTTGATGTAACCTATCATCAGCCGGTGCTTCAACCCCAGATTTCCTGCTAACAACCACTTCTTCAAATGACCAGAAAGATCTTTGCTACTTTCCAGGTTTGGAAACGAGGAAAAATAGTAAAGATCCTTCGCCTCCAGATTATTAATAGAAAACAGCTTTATGCACCTTGCTTCCTGAAAGCTTCTCTGTTCTCGTGGAGCAATTATTTTTCTTTAGATCCTCAAAGTCCTTCATCAAGAATCCCAGTTGGACCAGCGGACTGAAACATCCCCCATTACTGGAAACCAGTTCAGATCTTAAAGCCCTTCCTGATCTCCATTACATCTTTTCTCAATGTTTCCATCTGAACTCACAATTGTATTAATATTAGCAAGACAACCACTGTTCCCTTCCTCTGTTCCCTTCATCTGTTCCCTTCATCTGTTCCCTTCATCTGTTCCCTTCCTCTGTTCCCTTCATCTGTTCCCTTCATCTGTTCCCTTCATCTGTTCCCTTCATCTGTTCCCTTCATCTGTTCCCTTCATCTGTTCCCTTCCTCTGTTCCCTTCATCTGTTCCCTCCCTCTGTTCCCTTCATCTGTTCCCTTTATCTGTTCCCTCCCTCTGTTCCCTTCATCTGTTCCCTTT